TTTTTGTCTATTCCTTCGTACTCTTTTTTCCTTATTCCCTTTTATTGTTCCTTCAAAAGTTTTTTTCTCTTTCTTCAACTCCCCCTATTTCAAATTCCCTTCTTTTTTTTTTTAAATTTTTTTATAATTTCCCTTTCCTTATTTCCCTTTATGTTTTTTTAAATATTTTATATCTCCCTTTCTTAATCTCCCCTTTTTATTGTTCTCCCTTGTTCATGCTTCCCTTCTTCCCTGCTTTCCCTTCTTCGTAGACTACCTTTCACTACTCTCCTTTCTTTATATTCCCCCTTCTTCTTTACCCCCTTCGTTACCCTCCCTTTTCTCTATTTTTCATTCCCTATTCTCTTTTCCGTTCTCCCTCCCCCCTTTTTCCCTTTTTCTTCCCTTCCCTTCTTAATACTCTCCCTTCTTCACTACCCCCTTTCTTTCATATTCTGCTTTCTTCCCTAATCCCCTTTTTTCCCTAACTTTTCTTCCTACCTCCCTTTTTCATACCCCCCTTTTTTCCCTACCCCCTTTCTTCCATCTCCCCCTTCTTCAAACCCTTTTTTCTTCACTACTCTCATTCCATACTAACCTTCTTCCTTATCCCCCCTTTTCTCTTTTATACCCTTTTTTATTCCCCTTTTTCAAAACTCTCCCTTCCTCCTTACCCTTTTTTTTGTCTTCTCCCTTTTTTCCCTTTTCCCTCCGTTCTTTACTACTTTTCCCCTTTCTTCCCTAATCTCCCTTTTCTTTGCCCTCCCTTATTTTTTCTCTTCTTCTTCACTACTCCCCTTTTTTCCTTTCCTCTCTTCTTCTTACTCTCCCTTCTTCATATTTTTCCTTTTTCCTGCTTTATTTTCTTCATTTCATCCCTTTTTTCACTATCCCCCTTCTTCCTTACCCCCAATTTTAAATTTCCCCTTATACTATACCTTTTTCCATCTTCTTCCTTCTTCACTTTTTTCCTTCTTTTTTCTACTTCCCTTCTCACACTCCCCTTTCTTCATTACTGTCTTTTTCCTCCCTTCCCCTTTTCACTCTCCCCCTTCTTTTTTATCCCTTCATTTTTCTCCTTTTTTTCTTCCCTTCCCCTTCCCTTATTTTCTTCCCTTTTTCACTACTCTCCCCTTCTTCACACTCCTTCTTCCTACTCTCCTTCTCCCTTCTCCCCCTTCTTCATTCACTCCCTTTCTTCATACCTCCTTCTTCCTGCTCTACCTTTCTTCACTACCTAGCTTCTCATCCCTTTTTCCCTTCGATCCCTTGTTCACTTTCCCCCTTGTTATTACCCCCCCCTTTCTTAACACTCTTCCTTTTTCCCCTTTCTCTACCTTTATTAACTATTTTAAAATTTTTTTCCCTCTATCCCTTCATCTCTACTCTCCCTTTTTTCCTTACCCTCCCTTCTTCTTACTCCCTTTCTCTATTTTTCCTTCTTAAGTTTTCTTTTTTTTCACTACTCTCCCCCTTTTCCTGCTCTCCCTTCTTCCCTCTTCCCCTTTTTACAACACTCATCTTCACTACTCCCCCTTCTTGCCTTCTTTCCTTCTCTATTCCCCCTTCTTCACTCCTCCCCTCTTTAACTGCTCCCCTTCACACTGCCCCTTCTCTCGTACTCTACTTCTTCAATTTCTCCCTTCTTTTATACCTCCCTTCCCATTACTTTTCCTTCTTCCCATCTCTCCCTTATTCCCTACTTTTACCGTTTTCACTATTCCCCCTTTTTTTTCACCCCCCTCCCTTTTCCCTCTCTCATTCCTCACTTGGCCCCTTTCCCTCCTTACTCTCGTTTTCACTACACTCCCTTCTTCTCGATTTACCCTTTCTTTCTTATTCTCTCTTCACTACTCTCCCTTATTCACTACTCTCCTTTCTTCCCAATATTCCTTCTTCACGACTCTCCCTTCCTTACTACTCTTCCTGTTTCACTACCCTCCCTTCTTGACTACTCTCCCTTTATCCCTACTCTTCCTTTTCTCCCTACTCTCCCTTTTTCCTTACTCTCGCTACTTCTCTGTTCTCCGTTCTTCTCTATTCTCCCGTCTTCCCTACTCTTCCTTCTTCCCATACTCTCCCTTCTTCGCTACTCTGCCTTCTTCCCTACTCTCCCTTCTTCCCTACTCTCCCTTCTTCCATACACTACCTTCTTCACTACTCTCCCGTCTTCCATACTCCCTTCTTTACAACTCTCCCTTCTTCGTTACTCTCCCTTCTTCGTTACTCCCCTTCTTCTCTACTGTCCATTTCCTATTCTCTCTTCACTGTTCTCCCTTCTTCCCTCTTCTCTCTTCTTTATTACTCTCCCTTCTTTATTACCCTCCCTTCTTCGCTACTCTCCCTTCTTTCCTGCTCTCCTTTCTTCACTACTCTCCCTTCTTCACTTATTCTGCCTTCTTCCCTAATCACATTCTTCCTATTCCCTCTTCTCTACTCTTCCTTCCTTGCTACTTCCCTTCTTCCCTACTCTCCCTTCTTCCATACTCTCCCTTCTTTACTACTCTTCTTCCACCACTCTCCCTTCTTCACTACTCATCCTTCTTCCTTACTCTCCCTTCATCTTTACTCTACCTTCTTTATTCTTCTTTTTCCATTACTCTCCTTCTTCACTACTCTCCCTTCGTCCTTACCCTCTTTTTTCTTTGTTCTCCTTTCTTACCTATTCTCCGTTCTTCACTACTCTGCCTTCTTCACTACTTTTCCTTCTTCCCTGCTTTATCTTCTTCACTTCTATCCCTTCTTCACTATCTTTCCCTTCTTAATTACTCTCCATTCTTCAGTACTCTCCCTTCAGTACTATGCCTTCTTCCCTACTATCCCTTCTTCACCATTCTCTCTTCTTCACTACTCTCCCTTCATCACTACTCTCCGTTCTTCATTACTGTCCCTTCCTCCCTATTCTCCCTTCTTCAATAGTCATCTTTCTTCATTACTCTCCTTTCTTTATTATCCCTTCATTGTTCTCCCTTTTTCATTACTCTCCCTTCTTCACTACTCTCATTTCTTCACTACTCTCCCTTCACTATTCTGCCTTCTTCCCTAATCACCCTTCTTCCCTAAACTTCCTTCTTCCCTACTCTCCCTTCTTCCCTACTCTCCATTCTTCTCTATTCTCTCTTCTTCCTTACTCTACCTTGTTCACTATTCCCCCTTGTTATTACTCTCCCTTCTTCACTACTCTCCTTTTTCCACAAGTCTGCATTCTTAACTATTCTCTCTTCTTCCCTACTCTCCCTTCTTCACTCATATCCCTTCTTCCTTTCTCTCTCCTCTTCACTATTCTCCCTTTTTCCCTCTTCTTCACTGCTCTCCCTTCTCCACTACTCTCCCTACTTCCCTGATTTCCCTTCTTCACTACTCTCCCTTCTTCACTAATCTCACTTTTCATTTCTCTCTCTTCACTACTCTCCCTTCTTCCACACTCTCCACTCATCACTACTCTCTCTTCTTTACTAATCTCCCTTCTTCCCTTCTTTCCTACTCTCTCCTCTTCACTACTCTCCCATCACTACTCTCCCTTCTTCCCTCTTCTCTTCTTCACTGCCTTCCTCTCCCCTTTTTCACTTCTCTCATTTCTTCACTACTCTCCTTTCTTTCCATAATCTCCCTTTTTCACTGCTATACTTTCTTCACTATTCTCTCTTCCTCCTTACTCTCCCCTTTTCTCTATTATCCCTTCCGTATTCTCCGTTTTTCATTACTCTCCCTTCTTCACTACTCTCTCTTCTTCCTTTCTCTCCTTTCTTCACTACTCTCCCTTCTTCATTACTCTACCTTCTTCCCTACTCTCTTCTTTCCTACTCTCCCTTCTTCATTACTCTCCCTTGGTTGTTCTCCTTCCTTCACACACTGAGATTTACACTCAAATAAACCAGAAATTATAATTTGGTTACAGTTATAAAAGGTTTAATTTCTTTCATAACCTCTTTTATAATTATTCTCTGTGTATATAAATTGTGTCTAAGATGTTAACAGATGTTTCTCTCACTGTTTACATTGTTTCTTTTTGTTTTATGTTTGTGGTGCTGTCTACTTTGAGCTACTTTCTTTGAAAGTCTTAATAAATGCTTTCACCAGCTGTTTTATTATAGATTTTTTCTCTAATTTTTATCCTCATTTAATCTCTTAGACAAGTTTAAAGGGTGGCCCGGTGGCTTGGTGGCCCGGTGGCCTGGTGGCTAAAGCTCCCGCTTCACACACGGAGGTCCCGGGTTCGATTCCCGGCGGGTGGAAACATTTCGACACGTTTCCTTACACCTGTTGTCCTGTTCACCTAGCAGCAAATAGGTACCTGGGTGTTAGTCGACTGGTGTGGGTCGCATCCTGGGGGACAAGATTAAGGACCCCAATGGAAATAAGTTAGACAGTCCTCGATGACGCACTGACTTTCTTGGGTTATCCTGGGTGGCTAACCCTCCGGGGTTAAAAATCCGAACGAAATCTTATCTTATCTTAAAAGCTTTGTTGTATTTATGTGTCCTTTGCTTTCTTTAGGTATTTTTCATGATGCTTAATTTTAGTGAATGTTAATCGAAACCTCACCTTATCTTCCTATATTTTCAAATTTCCTTTAGTGCCTCTAAATATTCCTTAGTTTTGAATGACTATAAGCATGACTCACGAAACTGTAATGACACAATTACAAACAAACCATACTAAGAGCGGGGTTAGAACCCGCGATCAGAGAGTCTCAGAACTCCAGACCGTCGTGTTAGCCACTGGACCAGCTAGCCATAATAAGATTCATCCAAGTAGTATTTATACACCATTGGAAGGTTAGAATAGTCTTGAGCTAGAGTTCGTCACGGCCAAGCTAGCTGGAGATTCGTCTATAAAACTTGTATTTGTGGTCACAGTGGTGCCTATGCTAACCTTCCTATGATATAAATATACCTAGTTGACGAATCTTATTTTGGCTAGCTGGTCCAGTGGAGTTTTGAGACTGATCGCGGGTTCTAACCCCGCCCGTGGTATGGTTTGACTATAAGCATGCTTATAACATATATTCTTGGGTTTTG